GCGGGCGCAAGCCTGGAAAATAATGGCCACGGCGCCCTCTCGAAAACCGAAAACGGACAATTCACTAATCGACGTGTCACTGTTGGGGGTTCTGTCCACCCCCGAAAGTAGTCATATCGTCGGAGCTCTGGGTTTGCATCATGGCGTGGGGAGGTGCGAGGCGACAGAGGCCTCTCAAATGGGGTCCCAGTACATGGGGTGGAAGGATCCTGCCGCATCGCCGATGCGTCGCCATAGCGTCGGCGACATCTAAACGTCGGCGACAGAGTCGGCCTCCACATCAGCGACGCATCGGCGACGCATCGGCGACGTCAGCGAGGAGACAGTCGGCCTCAACATCGTCGATGCATCGGCGATGCGGCACGAGCCTCCGGCCCAATCTACTCAGACCCCCTTTTGTGAAGGGGCCCTGGGACACACGAATAAATACACACAAATAAAAGGATCCCCATATTTCCAAATATTTTCTGGGTTTTTGTCTTCCCCCCACTTCCCATATTTTCCCATATCTTCTGGGAAATCGACGATTAATTGTGTCTGTGTTTTTTTCCCTCCTGATTTTGGGAGGCCTGAAGCCCAGACCCCCGATGTTGAAGTGGCTTCCTGGCGTGGACCCCCGCAGGTCTGGACCCCTTCCCAGGGGCCAGGTTTCGTCTCCTGCGCCGTTTTTCGACGGTCGCGAGACCCAGCGAAGGCCCCCGGAGGCCGAAACGTACCAGGACTCCTCCCGTCGCGATCTCTTCACGTCGCGAGCGTATCTGGATTTGGGAGGCCTGGAGGAGAGGTCGTTATGGGCTTGACGACTTGCGTCCCTCGACTCGCGCTGGATCGGCCACGATTTGCTTTGAACTTCCTTGGAGATCTCTAGACTCACCTGCAGCTGCCAGGATCTGCCAGGATTTGCTCTGATTCATCTGCTTTTACCTCGATACATCCGGCTTGACCACCACGAATTTCGGTGAGACGTGAGACTCGGGTGCGGGGGACTCGGGTTGGCCTGACAGGGCAATCATGAAAATGACGCGACACAATCCACAATTTGACGCGAACTGCCGCTGCAAACATCCCACGAAAACTAGACCGTCAAAATCCAGGACGCGCTCGTCAAAAGGCGTCGGCAAACCCGAGTTCCGAAGTACTCGAGTCTTACGCTTCCCCGAAAGTTGATCGGCTAAAAGTCGTCAAGCCCTCAGGGAAGAGGCGCTAGGCGTGTGTCTCCGATCCTCTCGCAAGTCGCCGCCGCCGCCCGTCCCCATCTGCTCCACCACATTCTGTACCGGGCGACGTGCTCTGTGCTGGGAGGGGGAGGGAAGGAAGAGAGGAGGAGGAGGAGAAGCAGGGGCAGGATGATGATGATGATGATGATGATGATGAGGAGGAGGAGCTCAGGCACTGCTGGCGCGCCACGTGTCGCTAGGGCGCGGCTGTGGAGGAGGAGGAGGAGGAGGAGGAGGAGGAGGAGGAGGAGGAGGAGGAGGAGGAGGAGCAGGAGGAGAAGGAGGAGGAGGAGGTGGATATTGAGGAGGTGGAGACGGAGATGGAGGAGGAGGAGGGAGGAGGAGGAGGAGGAGGAGGAGGAGGAGGAGGAGGAGGGAGGAGGAGGAGGGAGGGGGAGGAGGAGGAGGAGGAGGAGGAGGCGGAGGCGGAGGAGGAGGATTGCAAAGCCGGGTCTGCCACGCAGAGGCGCGAGATCTTTTCTGTCCGCCCCCTCGCCGGCCGCCGCCTCCGCCGCCCGCGCCGCCGCGCGGGCGCGCGCGCTGCCCGAGGCCGTAGGCGCCGAGCCGCTGCGCGCCCAGGGACTGCGCGGCACTGGCGGGCGCGGCGGCGGGGGCTCCCCCCCGAGAGGCTCCCCTCTGCCCCCTCCTCCCAGCTCCTCCTGGACCTCCTCCCTCCCTCCTCCCCCGCTTTTTCGTCCTCGTCCTCGCTCTCCTCTCTTGCTCCCTCCTCCCTCCTCCCTCCTCCGCCTCCTCCTCCTCCTCTTCCTCCGCCTCCCTCCTCCTCCGCCACCTCCATCCCTGCTCCTTATCGGCAACTCCTTCCTAGCGCGCCCCTGGAAATCATCGGCCGGGCGGGCTGGGCGCTTTGCTGAAGAATTCCTCACCAGATATGAGCCTGAGGCTTGATATTAGCAGCATATCCAATAATGGAGGGCGGGTGGCTTTGCGGCTCTCGCCTTAGAGCCACGCGCAATCGGTCTAAAGCTTTCCACAGCTTCAACGATGGAGAACGGGTGGTTGTCGTCTTAAAAAGTTCGCTGCAGGTTCAAGGGTGGAGGGCTGCTCCGTGTCAAGATGTAGGTGCCGCTTCAGCGCTGCTCAGATTCGTTCTGACAGACGGCAGCAGCTTCAAGGATAGAGGGATGCTCCTTTTCTATATATTGTTATCGCTTCAGCGCCGCGCGCAGGCGTTTTACAAAGTTGCGGCAGTTTCAAGGATTCGCGGGGTTGAGGTCCCAGGATTGGCGTGTTCGCGCGATTTGGGACTGTCAGGGCGCAGCCGTTTCTTTGATTCGTGGTGTTGAAGTCCCAGGAACGGCTTTCTGGCACGCTTTAGGATCGTCAGGACGTCGCATTGACTGTGATTCACTGCGTTGAAGTCCCACAGAGGGTGCTTTGGCTGGCACGATAGAAGATTCTCTGACCCGTGTCTGTTACTGGGGCGTTCCCCACAATGAGAATTACGTTATTGCGGGGGCTTCTGAAGAGGAGCTCAGAAGGAGGGTTCATTGCAACATCGTTTTGGCGTCTTGGGTCTGCACTGGTCCCCCTCATCCTCCTCCTCCTCCTCCTCTTTTTCCTCCTCCCTCGCCTCCTCTTCCCCCTCCTCCACCTCCTGCTTTTTCCTTAAAGCGCATTCCGCCAGCGTTTGCAGCCGCCGCGGGCGTTTGCCGGCAGACGGGGCCAACCGTTCGAGCCTCTTCATATGTTCGGAGAACTGACCCCGGCGGCCTGCATAACACACGGGCTGCGGTGTCGGAACCGCCCGTCTTCGGAGTCTGGGGTGGGTCCTCCGCCAGTCTGCCAGCCACTCAGCGAGCCCGGCAGCCTGCCGCAGGCAGCAGGACATGCAGTGGGGCCGCTGGACGCCTGTCGGGAAAGATTCGGCTGCCCTTCTCCCGCCACACGCAGCTGTGGCTGCCACTCCTCCTGCGCCTCCTCCTCCTCCTCTTCTTCTTTCTCCTCTTCTTCCTCCTCTCATTTCCTCCTCATCCTTTTCCTTCTCTTCTTCTTCCTCCTCCTCCTCTTCCTCCTCATCCTCCTCTGCCTCCTCCTCCTCTTCCTCCCATCTCCCCCTCCCCCTCCTTCTCCTCCCCCTCCTCCCCTTCCTCCTCCACCCATCTCCTCCTCCTCCTCCTCCTCCTCCTCCTCCTCCTCCTCCTCCTCCTCCTCCTCCTCCACCTCTCCCTCCTCTCCTCGGCAGGTCCTCCGAGGATCGAGGGTCAGGGCTCCACGTGTCCGAGCCGCCGGGCGCCCGTCGAGAACTTCGCCGCCCAGGGGAGGGGGGGAGCCCGGCGCAAGCGGCGGGAGGTCGGCTGCACGCGCTTCCCTCTCGGTCGGGAGCTTCTGCTCAGCGCATCGCGGCGGCACTATGTGACGGCGCGCACAAGGGGGTGGAGGGAGGGGGGAGGGCTTCTTAGCGGGAGGCTGCTTCCCAAAGGCGCCGGCCTCACATCTATAGACAAAGCCCGCGCCTTCTAAGAAGCAGGGGTGCTTCTAAGAAGCTCTCCCCCCTTCGCCCCACCCCCCTCTGCGCGTGGCGGCACGATGCCCTGCGTGTCGCTCCGCTCCGCGGGGCCAGGGAGCGAAACGCTGCGCCAGAGTTCCCGACTGCACGAGGAAGGCCAGGTCCACGAGAAGCCTTCCACAGGCAACCCAGCCCTGAGACGCCTGAGACCCCAAGACGTCCATATTGGTTTCTAGCGTGGGCACGTCACGCTCTCCACCGCAGAACACAATCGAAGCCCAAGGAGCCCGGGGCACCCCAGAGGCAAGCCGGGTGCTTCTTGGCATGGACCTCCACTGCAGCGTGTGGTGCCGAAGCGTGGTGGCCCAGCACCTGGCGGAGCGACGCGCTGAGCCAAGGGTTCCCGGACGCGGAGCGCGAAGGACACGGGCACCTCAGAGGCGCAGGGCCCTGGAGGTGCCTCGCCCTGCTCGCGCCGTCGTGGGGCCCCAAGGGCAGGCAGCGAGCGGCTCTGGATCGGGAGCTGGCCCTGGGGGAAGCCCCAGGGTCTGCTCCTCCTCCTCCACCTTCTCCTCCTCCTCCTCCTCCTCCTCCTCCTCCTCCTCCTCCTCCTCCTCCTCCTCCTAGTCCTCCTCCTCCTCTCCTCCTCATCCTCCCCTCCTCCCCCTCCTCCTATTCACCCTCCTCCTCCTCCTCCTTCTCCTCCTCCTCCTCCTCCTTCTTTTCCGGTTCCTCCCCCTCCTCCCCCTCCTCCCACTCCCCTGAGGGCCCGGTCCGTTCGTGGCGATCCTTTCTCGGCTGCCCCTCCGAGGAGCAAGGAGATTCTTTACTGTGGGGGGGGAAGGGCCGCGACCCTCCGAGGATCAAAGATACAAGCTTGCCCGTTGTGGGTATCCGAAGCCGCTCCTGGTGACCCACAACAGGCAGAATGTCGAGGCGGATCCAGCCGTGGCTACGAGGGCCCGCGCCCGCGCAGCGAAGCCGGATCCGCCTCGACCTCGACATTCTGGTCGGAAAGCCCCTCCCTCTTAGTGCCAAAGGGAAAGACCATCTCCGCTAGAGCAGGGAGGAGGGCTGGACACCCCCCCAAGTGCCACCCAGAACGGTCAGACGCTTAGTAAAAAATGTTTCGGTCCTGGATCCTCCTTCCTCCTCCGCGATCGATTCTAAGGAGGTGGCGCCGTCCAGTGGGGACCCCCCACGGAACTGCCTGATTACTCTGCTTCTCCAGATGGCGGCACGAAGATTTCGGGACGTCGCTCGTCCGCCACCTTCAGCCTCTAGGGGCCGATTCTAGGCCCTGGAACTATCAAAAACTACTCGGGATAACATCTGGAGGCCAGGAAGGGGTCGGCAGGCAACAAAACTCTCGACATCCTAGACCTGGGCTGCACCGCGAGCGCCAGCCATGCTTACGGTCGCCACGAAATAAACACGACAGGCATCCGCGGGGCCGACTCCGAGCCCATGGGCCCGTCGAACAAAAACGACCCGCGACGACATCCCGGACCCAGGGATGCAAGGCCGTCCACGGCGACGGAGCAACCGAAGACCAACCGCGCCGACAACGAATCCGAAACTGGGGCGCTCTGGCGCCCACTTCGTGAAATATACGTGACCTCGGAGGTCCAGTCAACCCGTATAGTAGGGATGCGCGATAGGGATGCAAGGCCCTTGGAAGCCCACTTCGGAGCTTTCGAGCGGGGCGCGGCCAACGAAAGTGGCCAAGGATGCACCGAGGAGGCAAGGATGCAAGGGTACCCTTGGGAAGGGTGCCAGCCCTTACTATGCGGGTTGACTGTATGGGCCAGACCGGGTCTCCATAAATTCCCCCCACCGCCAGCAAAACCAGAAATCCGAGGTCGCAAGTTTTTTCCAAAACGTGGCTCCCCAGAGGTCTGGGCCGATTCCCAGGGACCGGCTTTTTCTCATCCCGAGTCGTTGTTTGACGGCCTCGGGGCCCGGGAAGAGCTCTTAGATGCCAAGACTTCCTTGTGTTCGACGAAAAAGAAGCCACTCAGAAAAGGAGGGAAATCCTGGGATACACGCCAAGGGGGCCATTCGGACGCACCCATATCGAGGATAGACGCCCCCCCATGGTGTATCCCAGGGGAGGCCCAAACAATTCTGGTCCTTTCGAAAAAGCCCACGAAGCCTGGGAGACGGGTCGACATCTCCCCTTTTCGGGGAGATTGTGAGAAAAGCTCGGCGACCACTGCACGGGGTCTCGTGCAAGTGCTCGCGAATGCCACCGAGGCGCTCGTGGAAACCCCGGGGCCCCCCGCCCTTGTCCCCCGGAGGTCCCCAGACATGCAGCGTCGTGATGTTTTGCAGTGTGGCCCCCCAGACATCTTGACCCCTTCCACTCGGAACTATAAGCGAAAATAGCATCCCTCAAGAACATGAGACCCTCCGCCAGCCAAAATACACAGAACATCCAAGAGCACCCTCCCCGGGATGCACAAGAACATCGAACAAACACGGAAAACACGAGGGTACTCCCCCCGAACCGACCTCGATCTTACACCTCGGCCCGACTGCAATGTTTCGCCGTGTGCCCCCAAACATCTTGACCCCTTACCGACTCCTCATCCCGAGTCGTCGTTTGACGGCCCCGGGGCACCGTGAGGGACCCCAGAGGCTGATTTGTTATTGTTGATTTGCTTCACGAAGTGTTTTGGTTCACGACGCGAGGAACGCCCCAAACGTAGAGTGTTTGTTTGTTTGTTTGTGTGTGTGTGTGTGTGTGTGTGTGTGTCAGGGTTTGTGTCCGAACGCCCTCCGAGCGAGAACCTCCTCTAGAGGCCTTCCAGGTCGGCGCTGGACAGACGGTGTCGGAGGATCGCGCCGAATCGCCGATGCATCGTCGACAGCGCCAATGCATCTCTAGGGCTCCCAACTTCGCGCTTCGCGCTGCGCGAAGCGCGAAGCGCGAATAACTTCGCGCTCTCGCGCCGCCCTCCCAAAGGGAGAATAGGAGGACGAGGAGGAGGGGGAGAAGGAACGAGGACCGCGAAGCGCGAAGCGCGAATAACTTCGCGCCCTCGAGGGAGCCCTTGCAGCTCGTCCTCGTCCTGCTGCGCGGCAAGCATGAAGTGCCCCTCCGCCGTGTCCGCGCGGTCGGAGCGGAGCGACGGCCGCGCCCGCGCGCACCCCGCCTTTTGCCGAGTGGCTCGGCTGGTGGACTGCCCGAAGTGGCTGCGTACAGTGCAGTAGCAACGAACGCAGAGTCTCCTGGGAGGTGCAGAAACAGAAGCGTTAAGACGTTTTTGGTGTTTTTTTCTACCTCCGTAGTTTTCGGCCCGAGTCGCGAGAGAGCTTGAGCGCCAGTTGGGCTTCTCAAGAGCCCACGGGCCGGCGCTAACACTTACCATCGCCTGTTGAAAAACATCGTGCGCCCATCATCCACACGGGCAAGCGGGGGATACAGAAGCAGGGGTCAGAGGGGGGAGGATGGCGCAGGCCAGACCTTCGAATGATCGTCTTCTTCTTAGCATCTGTTGTGGCATTATTCGTATCAGCAGTACTATCACCATAAAGATTAGTACGACCGCTCGTAATTTTACTGTTATTCTTCTACTTAGTATTATTGTTCGTAGCATTCGTGCTAATCTTATTCCTGTTGCTCCACCTCCTTCTCCCTCCTCCCTTCACCTCCTCCCTCCTCCTGATTGAATGCAGTCGCGTGGTGGTGGCGTTCCTCTTTGGGCATGCCCCACCCCATGGGGTTCAGGACGCCTGGGAGGCTTGGCCACCCACTTGCTCGAGTGCAGACGGCTGCGAGGTCGCGTCTGCTTCGGGCTCCCTCGCTGTGGGTCTCCCCCAATCGCTCTCCCCGCAAGCTTTTTTTCAGCCCTGCCCTTCGCCGCTTCCGATGCGCTTCTGTCCCCCCCCCCCCGTGGGCCGCCCCTATCTGGCCACACTCTCTCTATTTGTTTGAACTTCTGTGGAGCTCCGCTTCCGCTCATACTCCTCCTCCTCCCTCCCTCATACTGCTCCCTTCTACTGCTCCTCCTCCTACGCCTCCTAGTCCTCCTCCTCCTCCTCCTCCTCCTCCTCCTCCTCCTCCTCCTCCTCCCTCCCTCCTCCCCTCCTCCTCCTCCTCCTCCTCCTCCTCCTCTCCTCCTCCTCCTCCTCCTCCTCCTCTCCCTCCTCCTCATACTGCTCCTCCTCCTGGGCCGGGAGGGACGCGCGGCGCGAGCCTCTGCTCCTTGGCGTCCGGCCGCTCTCTCCTGCGGCCACCCACGCGCCGGGCGGGGGGGGGGAGGAGGAGAAGCAGGGGAAGGAGGAGGAGGAGGAGGAGAAGGAGGAGGAGGAGAGAGGAGGAGGGGGAGGAGGAGGAGGAGGAGGAGGAGGAGGAGGAGGAGGAGGAGGCGGGGAGGGGAGGGGAGGAGGAGGAGGAGGAGGAGGAGGAAGGAGGAGGAGAGGAGGAGCAGAGGAGGAGGGGCGGAGGAGGAGGAGGAGGCGGGCTCTGGAGAAGCTCGGGCTCTGAAGAAGAGCCCGCGAGAAATCCGATCAGGTTGCGGTCGGACCTAGGCCAGAAGAGCCCCCCTCAAGAGCATGAGACCCGCCGCGCCGGCCCAAGCACACTGGACATCCAAGGGTGCCCTCCACGGGATGCACAAGAGCATCCCACAAGCACGAAGGAGACTAGGGTACCCTACCTCCCCGAACCGACCTCGATCTTGTACGTCAGTCCGCCTGTACTCGACTGTACTCGAGGCGCGTGTCGGATACAGGCTCTTTGCAAGGCTTCGCAAGGATCACCTGCGATGGGCCCGACCGAAGAGGCCGCCCGCCCGCGGATTTCTGGGATCGGCGCTGGACCCCCCTCCCTGGCGCGCGGAGCGCGCCAGGGGCGGCGCCGGAGGCGCCGCCGGGGGGCCCCAGCGCCGATCCGAGAAATCCGCGCGGACCTCCGAGTTGTTATGTTTATGTCGAGCACCTCGTGAACATATCAGGCGTGTGAGGGGTGGGCCCCACCTCCAGCGAGGCGGCGAGGGAGGGGGCGAGCAGAAGCGCGCTCAAGCACAGAGGCGCGCTGCTCTGCGTAACCTCGGTCGTCGCTTGGCCACAGAGGTCACGACGGATGGGGCTGGCAGGATGGAGGACGGCACCGCGGAAGAGGCGACCGCTTCCATCAGCACGACTCGCTCCTCCTCCTCCTCCTCCTCCTTCTCCTCCTCCTCCTTCTCCTCCTCCTCGCTCCTCCTCCTCCTCCTCCTCCTCCTCCTCCTCCTCGCCCCTCCTCCCCCTCCTCCGCCCCGTCCCCCTCCTCCCCCTCCTCCGCCCCCTCCTCCCTCTCCTCCTCCTCCCGATGGAAGTCCGTACGGCGCAGGGCGCGAGAGACGCAACGAAGGCGTGCAGTGCCGGCGCACGCGGGCCCTCCAGCCCGCCTCACAGAGGGACCTTTCTCTCCCACCACGGCAGCTTGGGGCATTCTTGGGGCCTCCTGGGCGCTTCTTGGGGCCATCTTGGAGGAGATCGATCACTGGAGGGGGGGGCACGTCCCCCCCTCAGAAGACCAAAATGGGGCCAAAATCCTACTCAAATCAATGATTTTGGCTTCCTCGCCGAGGCCGTTTTGGACGCCCTGACACCTCCCCGCCCCTCCCGTCTTCTTTGACGGCCTGCCCAACCCATCCGTTCCTCGGGTGTCCAATCCCCCGCTGGCGCCCAGCCCAGCTGCCCCTCGGGCGAGAGGCGGCGAGAGGAAGCTCAAACGGGTTCAGATATGGAAGACGAGCAAACACAGCGTAGACATGGATTGCCGGCACTCCGCGCTGGTTGCTCGGATCGGCGCCGGACTCCCCTCTCTGGCGCGCGGAGCCCGCCAGGGGCAGCGCTGGAGGCGCCGCCAGGAGCGGCAAGCGCAGGCCCAAGAGATCCGCGCGGAGCTCCGAGACTGCATACTCTACAGTCGACCCGTATCGTAAGGATGCGCGGTAAGGATGCAGGGGCCTTGGAGGGAAATGCTAACGTTTTTCGGACGAGGCTGGCCAGCGAAAATCGCCAAGGATGGGCCGAAGGGGCAAGAGAGCTCAGAATCGAATGGATAAGTCGGATCGGCGATCGAAATGAATCGGATCGGCGGACATCGGCAGCCGAGTCGGGAAAAGTCGAGTCGGCGGAAATCGGCAGGCTAGCAGGCCTCGAATGAGAAATCGCAGCCCAAATCGGAATCCGAAGTCGAATCGAAGTCGAATCGGGAGCCACCGAACTCGAATCGCATCGGAGGAGGAACCGAACTGAGCCCCGAAGGGGCAAGGATGCAAAGGCGCCCCTGGGAAGGCTGCCCATCCTTCTTGTGCAGGCGGACTGTAGACCACGCAACTTCGCACACCGCGCCCCGCGATGCGCACTGCGCGCGGCCACCTCCGCGCCGCCGCGCCGCCGCCCCGGAGAGGGGCGCCTCTCCAACCCGAGCCGCGATGCGCGCGAACTGCGATCCTCTTCGCGCTCCTGTTTGGGGGGGGGGGGGGGGGCATTTTTTTCGCTCCTGGGGGGTGGCCTGGATGTTTCTGATTCGAAGAAGAAGAAACATGGCATGTAAACAGAAGCTTGTGGCGCTCCGCGCGGACTTCGTGCATCCGCGCTGGGCCCCCCCCCGGCGGTGCAAGAACTCTCCGGGCGGAGCGCCAACAGCCAACAGTTTATGCTTATGGCGCTTTTCTCTTCTGCGACTGATCGCTGTGTCCGGGGCTGGTCGGGCGGAGCAGGAACCAATTTGGACGCCCGAAATGGGTACGGAAAGAATGGGTAGAATGCCCAACAGCAAATGCTGTCCCAAACCAACAGCGGCTGCTGTTGGGCAGGCGGCCTTCTGTCTCGAATGGACACAGGCCGCGGCGGCGTGGACAGCGAGTCCTGTTCAAAACGAATTCAAAAACGAACAAGATCCGCTGTTGGGCATTGTTCGGGGATGGACAGACCTCCCTGTAGTAAAACGTGGTTTAGTGAAAACGACCTGAGGTCCAAACCTGGCGGGCGCAAGCCTGGAAAATAACGGCCACGGCGCCCTCTCGAGAACCGACAACGGACAACTCACGAATCGACGTGTCACTGTTGGGGGCTCTGTCCACCCCCGAATTGTAATGCGGGATGACGATTAATAAAAAATGGGGGGGGAACGACAAAAAATAGTTTTCTGCAATTTCTGCAGAATTTTCTGACTGGAGGAGAGCGATTAAAAGAAATAGTTTTCCAGCCCGCGGCCGGTTTTTTCTAATCGTCATCCCGGGCGCCGCCGCGTGAACACGACCCCCGGTCGTTTATTAACCGTCATCCTCCATTACCCAGTCTTTCCGTGCCCCTTTCGTTCGCGCAGAACCGAGTGGGGGCTCCGGGGCGCCCGGCTGCCGGCGGGGGCTCGCACGCCTCCTGCGCCGATGCCACGCCCCGGGGGCCCCGAGGAAACCTCCGCGGGCAGCGCCCCGAGAGCGGGGGCGCCGGTCGGCGCCACAGTGGATGCCCCGTCCGAGGGGCGCACGGTGAGGGCAGCGGAGAGGAGAACGCCGCGGAAGGAGGAGTCCGGGGCCTGGGAGCCGGTAGAACTAGTTGGAGGAGGGGGAGGAGGAGGAGGAGGAGGAGGAGGAGGAGGAGAAGGAGGAGGAGGAGGAGGAGGAGGAGGAGGAGGAGGAGGAGGAGGAGGAGGAGGAGGAGGCGCAGAAGTTTGGCTATACGCAAGAGTGACCCTGGGCAAGAGTGACCTGGGCGCGCAAGCAACTCCTGCTGCTGCGTTTTCAGCCATCTGGGGACCCATCTGTGCCTGCACCAAAGGTCACTCTGGCGACGAAAGGTCACTCTTACGTCCAGTCGAAGAAGGCATCTATACTATACACCACCACCCTTCCTGGCCAGGGACATCCTGGGCCCTGGCATGGTGTGTGCGCATCCTGGCCGGAGACGGGAAGGGTCTGTACACCATCGTCCATCGTGGAGACCAGGGTGGCCCTGGCCGGGCACGGTGGCGGTGTATAACGATGGCACCTGCGGAACTAGGGGAACGAACAATGACATAAACATAAAGCTCGGAGGTCCGCGCGGATTTCTCGGATCGGCGGTGGACCCCCCCCGGCGGCGCCTCCGGCGCCGCCCGTGGCGCGCTCCGCGCGCCAGGGAGGGGGGTCCGGGGCCGATCCGAGAAATCCGCGCGAACCTCTGAGTTTTTATGTTTATGTCATTGTTCGTTCCCCTAAGAGCTTCAATCGTGGGTTGGCCATGGTTACTACCGCCGCCCTCGTCAGATCATGAATCCTCCAGGGTCTGAAGCTTCCTGGGCTCACTTCTTTGCCAAAGGCCCGGCCAGAGATGGAGGACGGAAAGGAGGATGAGCCCAGACATCCGACGTCGTGACTCTTTCGCAAAAGGCGGCGCCCCATGGGCCTGGATCCCTTCCTGGGGACCGGCTCCTCATCCTGAACCTCTTCTTGGCGGTTCGGTTGCGGGGCCCAACAGGGGCCCCGGAGTCAGAAAGAACACAGAAACCTCCCGCCCGCCGTGACCTCGTTCGCGACGCGAGGATGTCAGGGAGGACGAGGCTGAAGACGCACGAGGCGGAGAGCAGGTCGACGGCAGCGCTGCGGGGGCAGGTCCTCTGGAACTTCTGCGTCTTCTGCCACTGCTCCGGGGGGCCTGCGCGCACGAGCGGGGGCGGGCCATGGGGGAGGGGGGGGGCACGGGAGAGCAGACGGCGGTGCTCGCGGGGGGGCAGGACGGGCCCGAGACCGCCAGGAAGCTGGAGACTGACTACCTACCAGACCACCCCAACCCAACCCGAAGACCCGAATTTCGGGTTGGGGGGGGTAAGGGTTCCACATGTGTTTTTTCGATGTTCCCCGACCCCCCCCCCCACTGGAAATGGAGGGCAAATTGAAGCCTTCGGGTTGGGTTGGGGTGGTTTGGTAGGTGGTGAGAGACAGGCGGAGCCGGATCCACGTGTGAGACATGCGGTGGGCACTTGCCGGACACGGGTGTCGAGCTATGTTCTTCCCATCCGACTTGAGGACCACATCCCAGAAGTAATCTCGAGCACCCAGAGAAGTGTCGAACCATTGTCGACACAGTGTCGATAACAGTGTCTCCCAGGGCCCAGCACGTGAAAACCCTCGAGTTGTCGGGTTCTTCTCTGGCGCTCGAAATTCTTTCTGGTGGTCAAGGCTGAAGTAGGTTGGAACATCATAAGTGAGGGTCCCCGCCCAAGGCAGCAGAGGGGCCGAGCGCTGGAGAGGCGCCTTTGCCCACGTCGGACGCCCGAAGCACCAGGGCAGGCAGCTGCTGTCCGGGGCAGCTCCGGATCCGACTATAAGGCCCCCGCGGGGCGCGAGTCTGCTGAGCAGGGACCGACCGTCCCGGCATTCCCATAGTCCTACCACGAAATGTTCCTAGTACCCAAAAATGTTCTAAGAGCAGAAACAATGTTCTTAGAACATATGCCCGATGTGTTAAAGCAAGACAATATCAACAAGAAATGTTCTAAGAACATTTCGTGGAAACCACAAGATCGCTTCGCCACTGCTTGAATATGTGGTGCTCCCTGACCGCCCCCGGCCGTGACACTTTGGGAGGCTTGGACGCCCGAGGCATCCGGGATGGCTGCGGTCCGGGGCAGCTCCGGAATTATCAGGGCCCCCGAGACGCGCATCCGTGGCTCTCCCTGAGCGCCCCCTGCCCTGATGATCCGCGGCTCCGAACATGCGCATTCATAGGGGACAAAAAATGGCATAAACGTAACAACTCGGAAATCCGCGCGGATTCTTGGATCCGCGCTGGGCCCCCCTCCCTGGCGCGCGGAGCGCGCCAGTGGCGGCGCCGGAGGCGCCGCTGTGGGGCCCCAGCGCGGATCCGAGAAATCCGCGCGGACCTCAGAAATATTATGTTCATGCCATTTTTCCGTTCCCCTGGTTCAATCCACAGCCCAGGCCGGCCGCGCCATCAGGCTTCCTGGTAGCGGCATGAGGCACGATAGCTCTTCGAGCTGCGCGTCAGCTGCCGGCGCCCCTCGGGGACGCGCGCAGCCCCTTCGCGTGTGCCCGCTGCAGGCAGCGTAGTGAATAGAGCATGCCCGCCATCCCCGAGAGTGGAAAGCCGCCTGCTTGCAAGACGAAGCCAGGACGAGGATAAAATCGGATCCGTCGTAGCGAAAAGATGGCAACATCGTAAAAATCACGCCCGGAGCCCTAGACCCCATCATTATGCGCCATTTTCGAGCCGGATCGATCTGTGAGGGTCCTAGGACCCGACACTATGCAAAAACGCCCTGCTCGAAAAATGGAGTCGCCATGGACACTGAGAACATCTCGACGGGACCGAGCCCGATTTCGCGGGACTCAGCCGACTTCAACTGGACTTCGGACCAGGGCGAAGGCAGCATTTGACCTCCCAGGAGTTGCATTATATGTCGGGCGTGTCCCCCTACAAGGGGAGTTTCAACGAAAAACAAAAAATACCCCCAAAATGCCCCCAAAAGGCCAAACAAATACTCAAAACATAGCCCCCAGACTGTTTTTGGATCATTTTGGGGGTGTCTTCTCTTTCGGAAGCGGCCAAGAGGGGGGTGTCCGAGAGGGGGGGGTGCAAATCATGACCGGCGGCATGTGCGTGGCCCAGCGGGGGGGCCAGCCCAGACCCCCGACGTCATGATTTTTTCATGACGGCGACCCCCAGAGGTCTGGACCCCTTCCCCAGGACCGGTTTTTCGTCCTGAGTCGTTTTTTGACGGTCCCGAGGGCCGGTAAGGGCCCCCAGAGGCCAAAAATAATGAAAAACCTCCCGTCGTGATTTTTTCATGACTCGAGGGGGTCTGGGAGGGACGTAATGAAATCAGAAGAGGCGCCATGAGATCTGAGGAAATATCATGCCGCAACGACAAAAAATCTGCCGGCGGGCGGCACCGCTGGGCCGCCGCCGGCCTCTGGGGGCCCCCTCGCCCCGGGCCCCCTCCTCCTCCTCCTCCTCCTCCTCCTCCTCCTCCTCCTCCTCCTCCCCTCCTTCTTCCCCTCCCCTCCTCCTCCTCCTCCTTCCTCCTCCCATCCTCCTCCTCCTCCCTCCTCCTCCTCCTCCTCCTCCTCCTCCTCCTCCCTCCTCCTCCTCCTCCTCCTCCTCCTCCTCCTCCTCCTCGTCTCCTCCTCCTCCTCCTCCCTCCTCCTCCTCCTCCTCCTCCTCCTCCTCCTGGACCGCGTCGGCAAGCGGCTCGGGCTGAGCAGCGGAGGCCCTGGGCAACGGCCGCTGTGCGGGCGAGATCTATGTCCATGTCGCCTCGGGGGCCCTCGCCGGGCCCCAGGGGCCGCGTCGGCAAGCGGCGCGGGCTGAGCAGCGGAGGCCCCGGGGGAACTTGGCGGCGCGCACAAGGGGGTAGGGGGAGGGGGGAAGGCTCCTTAGAAGGAGGCTGCTTCTTAGAAGGCGCCGACCTTGCCTCTGCAAAGAAGGCCCTGGGCCACGGCGAACGTGCGGGCGAGATCTGTGTCCATGTCGCCTCGGGGGCCCTCGCGCCAGGCCCCAGGACCGCGTCGGCAAGCGGCTCGGGCGGAGCAGCGAAGGCCCTGGGGAACGGCCGATGTGCGGGCGATATCTGTGTCATACCTATACGACCACCCTTCGGGTGGTAAGGAGGTTCGGGGGGGGAGGGACCAACGAAACCGCAACCGATTTTCCGGTAGGGGGGCTCTCCGTTCCACTTCGATCTCACCCCCTCACCTCCGATCCAGCGCGTCTTGGACCTTCTTGGAAGGGGCACCGCAAGGCCGAGGCACGCTGGATGTGGACAGACATCGAGCCTCTATAGAGGGGGCAGCTTCTTATCCGTATCCAGGGCGCCTCGGGATTCTGGGGAAGGGGGTCCGAAACTCAAAGTTGCAGTGGATATGGCCACAAGTCGTGCCCGCATGATTGACAACATCCTGCATCTGCTCTGCTGAGTTTTGTGAGCTGAGACGAAGCCAGGACGAGGACGACATCGGGTGAGTATACCATCGGGAATCTTTGAGATCCGGCGGTTCGGGCGGATGTCTCAGTTGCCGCGGCCTTCTCAGAGCGTTCCGGAACGCTCTGGAACGGACTTACCCCTCCTGGTGAACACCTACCGCGCCCTCAATTGCATATTGGCGGGCTGCGCCGCGATGTGTCGTTCCTTCGACAGGCCGAACTCCTGCGCCCCGCTGGCGATGCCTTCTATTGAATCGGGGGCAAAGAGGCGCGTTGAAGTTTGCGCCGGCATCCCAGTCTCGTGCGCGGTGCAAGATTTTGTCCATAAACCGAACGGGTCGGGACATCTAGGGACCCCGCATTGCGTCCGCCCAAAAAACCGTATACTATACAAAGCTCTGGGTGGTGGGCGAGGGTCTGGGTCGTGGGTCTGTATATAGAGAACTTCCCCCCTGGGGCGTGTCTGGGGCGTGGTTTGTGTGCGCCGAGTGTGGCCCCGGGCGGTGGCATCTGATTGCGGTATACAAAGAGACAGGAGAATTGCAGAAATCAGGATAACAGAGGATACCCAGACCCACGACGTTGAGATTTGATTTTTTCACAGCGTCGACCCCCAAAGGTCTGGACCTCTTCCCCAGGACCGGTGTTTCATCCTGAGTCGTTTTCTGACGCTCCCGAGGCCCGGCGAGGGCCCCCAAAGGCCGAAAATACAGAAAAACCTCCCGTCGTGATTTTTTCACAGCGCGACGGGGCCTGGATGTGTCGACCCCTCCCCCCCATCCCTGCGAGACGTCAGAGCATCGCATGCTCTGCGCTCCCACCGCGAAGCCCCCGGGAGGAGCAGAGCAGCCCACGCGGATCTGGCCGACTTTGGCCGCCATGCGGGCGGCCCCCGGGAACACATGCAGCGCGTACGGCCCCTGGAGAGCCGACGCTGCGAAACGATGACAGCATCGCAAAACCCACGACCAGTGCCCGCAGAGCCCCAGCTCAGCTTTCCCCTCTCTCGAAAAGCGAAAACCTGAAACAAGAGAGAGGGGGCGGGGTAAGAAAAAAGGGCGATATGGGAGGAGCCCTCTGCCGCCTGCACATTCCTTTGTCGCACACACACACACACACATCCAGCCCCTCCGGATCGGCGGCATTGGTCGGAGGCCATTTCAATTACGACCAGAGCCTTGGATCCTAGCTTTCTGTGGCATGCTTCGAGCACGATCGATCAGTGAGGGTCCCGGAGGCCGAGACGGTCGCAAGACGGCTCAAGAGTGCCCCCGAGGGGCCGACAGCGCCCCCGATGGGCCGAGTGGGCCCCAAGAGAGCCCCGAGAGATCCCCGGGACGCAGACCGCCAGGAAAGCCACGTGGAGGTTCCCAGACCAACCCCCAAAGCCCAAAGGCCCCGAGAGGTGCTAAAATGCCGCGCAGGGCCCCCCCCGAAGTCGACGAGTGAGCCTTCGAGGCGGCCCCCGGATGCCAAAGAGTGCCCCAAGGGGGGGTTAGCGCCGGAGGCGCCTAAAGGAAACAGCTTCCTGGCTTGGTGGAGGTATTTCTTGCGTCTAGAGGAGAGAAAATTGGCAGCTTGCGAGCTTTTCAAAACAGAGGGGGCTTCTGAGGGTTTCCACTACACGAGTGTCCTGGCTTCCTGGCTTCCAAGAGCGAACGGTGTGGATTCCTCCAAGTGTTCCTCCTGCCTCCTCCTGTTCATCATCATCA